CAGAGAATCCCCCTGATCTTGAACCACCCTTTCGTTGCTCCTGTGCTGGGAGGGGTGAACTGCCAAGCTGCACGGTGTGGCGGGGGGGGAGAGAGAAGGACATGTGCCACACGCAGAGGGTGCCACGGGGACCCCCCCAATCCCTCTGCCTCCCTCTCACAGCCCAGACCTCTCCTTGGCTTCACTTTGGTTTCAGCAGAAGTTTCCTGTTCCTCGTTATTAGAGAAAAGCAAAGCCTAAGGGCCTTTGAGCTTCATAATTCACTTTGCAAGCGAGCCACCGGGCACAGAGCGACCGCAGCCGCTACCCCGGAGCGCTCTGCATCTCCTCCCGCTCCGCCCCGCCAAAGCAATGGTCCCGCTTCCCGCCCCGCTCCCTCGCACGACGACCTATCGCCTCCGTCAAGGGGAACAGGATTAATTCACGACAACCCAAGTGTGATCCTTTGGTGCTCAACTATTGATGAAAAGGGAGAAGTCTATTTTTTTTTAACCTTTGAAATGAAATTACCCCCAGTTAAAACTAATGATTTACTTTTTTTTCTGTTATTACAGCTAAAAAGTTGATCTGCCATAGCATTTTTTAGCAAAACATCTTCGTTAGAAGCATGTCAGTAACATATCTCAATTTTTCTGTACACTCAGCAGATACACAGTAACCACTGCATATGAAATTGCAGGGCACCGATGTCTGAGGCTGCCATCAAAACAATAAAACACGTTAAGGAAGGACTCTCCTGTTCCCTGTCGCTTACATGACGGATCTCCTTAATTAACTAGTTTGCTGGCAGAGAAAATGAATGAACGAGCGATAAACTGGCTTGCTTTGTTATTAGTGCCTCTGTTGTTTTCTTATATATCAGGTTAATTTAATGTTAATGAAAGTGAGGATTAGAAGCCTCAATTACTGGAAGGCGGGGGGGGCTGAAGAGGCTTACAAGAAGCTCCGTAAGGAGCTCAGCTGCACTGGACCGCGGCTGGGCCTGGAGGCCTGATGCTGCAGAAGGGCAAAGCCTGGCGGGGGGAGCCCCGGCCACGGCGGGCAGCCGCCCACCTCCCCGGCGATGCAGCAGGGCCCGTATGAACGGCACGGCTCGGTGCGATGCCAGGAACCGCTGCGGGGATAATGACTTGGGGTGGTTATCATAGTATCATAGAATGGTTTGGGCTGGAAGGGACCTCTAAAGGTCACCTAGTCCAACCCCCCTGC